CATTCACGAGTTTCTTTCTCTGTCCTAACCTCAATAGTCCAACACAGGAAAAAATCAATCAAGAATTAGTTGATCGACAATGACCTTGTCAATTAGGAGATGACACGTGACTAGGTGTTAAAAATAGAAGTCTCACCAACCCATAAGCACATGTCCAAAGGTTGGATTTACCCCGGACTTATTTTTCTCCATAATTACTCCATGCAACATGAACGAAAATGTATTAAATCAAAATTCTTACCAAATCTTTGTCCGTTTAGTTTCTCTTGCACTTAGGCTTTATCCTTTCGTCTCTAACTTGGGACAACCGTCTTGGAAAATTACTTTTGCAATCCAACGATTCCTCGCACGCAGGTATAGAGACAATTGGACAAGGATGTGGTTGGGATGATATATTTATCTTGTTAGATTCTAATGAAGCAAGTTTGAGTGAGAATCACAAAAGTGATGATATGAAGCCAAAAGTACAACCCAGCTCATGTTTCATCCAAACTTGTCCAAATCAGATTTTCTTTCAAGTGAATCATCAAATAACAAAAGCATTTTAGACGTATAATTCATTTAACACTGGTCCACACTCGCTTTGTAGATGTAGATGTAGATATAGATTTCATTAACAAATTCCAACCTTTCACAGACACTTGATTCAATTTCACCTTCTTGTGGAAAAATTTAGACAATGGCATCTATCTGCTTTGAACCTTCTGTAAACCTTTAAGAAACTATTTACCATAGCTATGAACCCAAAGAAACTCACAAAATGGAACCAAATTGGTTGATAGATGTCGTGATTTGATTCCTCGTATATTTATTCCCGCTTCCGCATTCCCCTCTCTTCTAGGTTTTATTTTCCTCTTTGTTCTTTTTATTTTAACTTTCTTTTTTGAAAACAAAATGAAACCCTTGTCTTTAATATAAACTTATGCAATTAAAAAGAGTGAAATTATATTACCACTACAAATATTACTTACTACACATGAATTAAAGCATATTCTCAATAAATACACCACGACAAATTTATAATTATAGTCACTATCAAATAATAACTAAAAGGTAATTATATTGCCACCACAAATATTGCCCTTTTTTTAGCCCCATTTTTTGGGGTAGAATGAATTTTTGAATAGCGTATTGATGGAAAATTTGTGGTTAAAAAAGAAGGAAAATTTTTGGATTTACGTGTAATATTATTTTATTGAAGAATATGTGATTGAAATGATATCAAAATACTGTTGAAAAATGAATTTTTCCAAAAGAATGGGGCTCAAACAAGGGCATTATTTCATACACCATGGCTCCACCCAGTTTAATTCTCCCTCAATTAAAAAAATATATAAATAAATAATTAATTAAAGTGGTGTACATTTCCTTTCTCTCTGCTCTACATGATGGTTTCACTAGGGATGGCAACCGGGTTCGTCGGCTCAGACTGTCCGTGGCTTGGCCCAAAAAAAAGCCCAAGCCGACTCGGCTTGTGGCTTGGACTAAGCCCATTTTTAAAAAAGAAAAAAATTGACTGGGCTCGACTCGGCAAGGCCCAAGCCCTAATTTTTTGGCTGAGCTTTTGCTTGGCTCGACTCGGCTCCGCTCAAGCCAAAAAAAGCTCTAGCAGAGCTTGAGCCAAGAGTTTTGACTTGCGAGCCGATTCGGCTCAACTCGTTGATACCTCTAGGCTTCACCCATTACAAGTCTCCCAAGAGTAGGCGTCCTACCATCCCAACCCCAACCCACATTCTTTCTCCTTTCCCTAATATGTACAGTGATCAAATCAATTTTGACTCACCTCGATCATCAAATATGAGAAGGCATTTTTTTATTGATGAAATACGTAATTAATTTGGACAGTTCATACTATGCAATTGGAAACATTATGTGACATTTGTTATGGTACTTTTGTTTGTTCACTAGACGCACAGAGTCTTCCTCATCTGAAAATTTGAGGAGCCTCAAAACTATTTATGAAGTATATAAATTAACAGTTGTGTAGTGTACAATCGGGGTTGACAATCCTGATTGACAATTAGACATATGGGACGGGGGCTCATGCTGAATAAAAAAAATCGTGGATCCACTCTCTTGTGAGTACATTTTCAACCGGAGTTTATAAGAAGAATAATTCATATTCTTATTGTATCCAGAGTGATAGTAATAGTGATAAACTTCATTCAATTCATCTTAAAACAAGAAGAGTTGTGATATTAGGCAATATTGGAGTTCAGACGAGAAATCGACTATTTTTTACTGAATCAAGGCAAAACATTTAGGGTATGTTTGATTGCTCCACTTTTCCTTCCATTTTCCAACTTTATGTTGTTTGATTGTCCAAAATTTTCCATAGAATTGAAATTCCTACTTTCTAGCCACGTCAGAATTTTCCATGAAATTAAGGAATTAGAATTCTCACCAAAATGGCGAGAATTGGAATTTTCGGTTACTGTAGCCATTTATTTATTTTTTTGCAATGGAAACAAATTCTAAGAATTATTGTAAAAAAATATTTCATTTTAATTGACAATTTTCATGTAAAACAGAGTCAAACGAACACTAAAAGATGGATGATTTTCTTGATTTTTTTTTTTGGCAATGAAAACAAATTTCATCCTCAATACCAGTAATTCAATCCTTTTAATTAACAATTTTCATATAAAACAAAGTCAAAGGAATACCCAAAAACACTTTCATTCCAACATTTTTCACGTGGAAAATTATAACAATCAAGCACAATAATTTACAATTTGCAGAAAAATAATTTCTAAGCAATTCAATTCCCCGGAGTTCATTTTCTTTCCACCCAAATTTCATCTTTGCAATCAAACGGACCCTTAATTGTGTTGGCTTGTATGAATTTTTTGCTATATGAACATTGCATTTGTATCTTTAAAGAGGAGTTATATACATTTTGTGGTGTGTGGATGATGGTGATGGAATGAATAAATATATGTGTGAATAATAGATAATTATGGTATACTTAAACGCTTATTGTGATGGTTATGTAATCACCCTTACGAAAATGATTGTGACAATGAAGAAATTAATGAAGAGAAATCGGAGAGAAAACTAACAATGCCATTTATTAAACATTTGAGGGGGGGGAATTTTGGAGTTGATCCAATATAACAACATGGATTGAGACAACCAGAGTATGATAGCATCCGCTAATAGTTCCACTTCACAAAATCTTGCAAAGGCACATCATGAGAAACTAGCAATTGAGTTTTTTCGAAGCGCATCATTCATTGTATTTATTGATGAGATCGTTGCTCTTGCTAATCGGGTCTAAGATTGAGGCATTATCATACAATCGGTTTCTGACATGGTTATGTACTTATGTTAAATCCTTGCACTCAATAAATTGCATATAAATTTTTGAATTGAAGATACGATGCATTTAGATGGAGGATCGATAATATTATACCCACTCTTAGTGCTTCAAATAGTCCAAACAATGTGTTGATCTCAAATATCCAAGAGGGTCATTCTGTCAAGAGATTTTCTGCTACGTCGCTGCTTACATGTATATTACCTGCATACTCAAATACCAGTGAACTTCTTTCGGTACCAAATATATGTGGAGTTTGGATAAACAAGCACATCTTTAACAAGAATTTAAGAGAATGTGTATTTTTAACTTTACCTATGCACGACTATTTATAGAGAAGTAGGTTAAGAGATTGCAACCCTAATTCTCTGTGTTTCGCGTTTGTTGGTTCATATAGGCTTAGTTCGTTACGATATATTTCCTATGACGTGTTTGTTTCCTTATTGAATTGGGTTTCTAACAGAGATTGATTCTCTTGGATTTTCCTTAATCCTCGAGGATCCTACTCCGATTTTTACGAGTTGATAAGGTAGTTTCTTTATAGAATACTAATTTCGAAACATATTCAAATTTCGTTCCAAAAATTATAGACTCGACTACGCACCATTTTGGGTTCAATTCGAAGCCCTTCATCCACCAAACCCATCAAGGCTTCGCCATGGGTATCTGGCAATGGTAGTTCTTGTGAAAACCACGAGGTACAGCCGAAGGACTTAATGGGTCAATTGGGGAACACTCGGAATTGTCACATGACTTGGTTCTTACATGTCCACCTCGCAGATTTTGGGGTATAACACAATGAAGCAATTTCATTATTTGCTCAGGATTGACCATCTTAGCTGATCTAGTTAAATAGGGTTATGCTAGACGAACAGGGGCGCCTAATTGGTGCCTCCCTATTGGAGGGGACACCTGTTTGGCCAAGTATCTTTTACCAGTTAAATACACTCTTGCCGAAAGAATAATCAATATAAAAGTCTGTATACTATATTGTATTTTACAAGCTAGGTCATGTCTTATGCATTTCAAATCCACTTGCATCTCTACTCAAGTCATCGCTGTTGGAATAATTCTAATGTGGGTTTCTCATTTGATTGTAAAATTTAAGGGTTAGAAGTATGGCTCGTAATAATATTGCGATTGGACCAAATATATTAAGTGATCAATTGAGTCTTTTACACATTACATGTTATATTTTATATGATGTGGTAATTTAAAATATGTGGGCCAGAAATATATATAAACCCAAATTAGAGTTTAAGTCGTAATAGAACGATTCAATAATTTCCTATATAAAGGTTAGATCCCATTTCCTCTCCATCTTATTTTATTAGTTTGTCTCATTGATGTTAATACTTTGTGAGGAGCAAGGAGGGAAAGATCTATCTATTATTATTCATATCAACTATGTCATCCATAGGTATGAATTTGAACTATCAATTATTATTTTGTAATTCTTGATTCTTAACGTGATTTCAATTAACTTCTATGGAAAAAATAATTCATTCGTCCATTTGTGAAGTAAATGACCATATGACCCACTAGAATAAAGTCCAATTATATTTCGAGTCATGATACCCTCATTTAGGTAGCATGATCCAAAACATATCTTCTATGCATGACCCGGTCATATGCACTTTATACAATTATCTCTATGACCAAGGATCATACGATATTAGTA